GTCTGTTTAATGAGTAAACTATTTTGAATATGATAAAATCAGAAACAGCATGTTATTGCGAAATGGAATAGCCAGAATTCTTAATACTTACAGTATATGAATTTTAAATTATAATTATTAGGGCTGTGCATGTAAGATTTCGTCAGTAATTATCTTGTGATCTCAACGAGCAGTTTACATATAAGGAAAACAAAATATTATATTAGGAGCTATTTAAGAATTACAAATTCTCCAAGGACTGCTTAGTGTTTTAGTGGTTCTGGTTCCTCCTTGAATAGGCATAGAGTACTGATTTACTGTAATACGTATCATTATGATACACCAATCAGAAATAAGTATAGTAAGTACGCGTACTTTCCATGCTTACTCTTTCCTAATAACAACGTCCTATTTCTTCGTGACCGGAACAAGACGAAATCTTACTGACTTCAAGACCGTAAGGCTAAGATATCGAGGTGAATAAGGTCAATTTAGGAATTCTACCGTAAATTGACTGTAATAACTGGGTCACTCGGTCAACGGCTATTCTAGGTGTAAGTTGCATTTGCTCCAACGGAACGACTACAAAGAATAATCAATCTATCACAATAAGTTCGCACTATCATCCAGCATCTAGATAGCTCCAATTGAATATTTACTTATGCTCTATCTACCCATCCGTATCTATTTTTATCTGACATAGAGACGTGACAAAAGTTTATTAAAATTGGCGACAACTTTTCAATTTTAACAAACCTGAGTAACTGAATTACCCCATCTCTCTCATCATCTCTAGTGTACAGTATATTATACGACCGGCCATAACTGCACTGTAGCTGTAACTCTTCATCTACTTCTCAGACTTTCCGTCACTGTTCTCCTTTGCTTGTTTTCTTTGTTGTTGTTCTACCTTGGTATATTCCCTTATATAAGCGTATTCTTCTGTATTTCAATTCAATGACTACTTGATTACTATGGAGAACAAACATCCGGTATATTAGTACAATTTATTCACTGATCAGTATTCAAACTAGTGTTAACTACCATACACTACTTCTAGGTCAAGCCCTAAAGACTAGGTGTAAATTCCCAATAATACGAGTCAGTAATCTCATTAAGGGCTCTCAGTAATTGTATATGATCGAAGTATAGTATTTTCATTTCATACCTCTATGAGGTACTAAATATTTATTACAGTATTCACTTCAATTTTTAACCTAAATATTAATTAAGTTGTTTTTTATGGAATTATACGCGTATGCTACAGTAAGACATTATTACACACTTAAGACTAGCCTGCAGTACTGTCTTAGTCTTCTTCCAATGGGATTTGTACGGACATTTTAGCTTTTGTTTTGTGTAGGATAGCATTTTTACTAAATACAGTAAACTCACCTTGCGCTACTTTACGGCCGGTCTTGAGTGTTGTCACGGACTACGTGTACTTCCTTAAAAGTTTACTAGTTTAACGCAAAGCACTTACTTTGAGTTGCTTCTAAGGATTATAACCCTAATATACCGTAAGGTCTAATAAAAATATAGCAGTACCTTTGAAACACCTAAGAATTGCCTTTCGAAAGGCCTACTGGGCAGCTACTGTACAACGAATAGCATTAGTATACAGTATTATATCGGTACAAAACCGTTAACTATGAAGTACAAAAATTTCTAGTACTCCATGCATTAACCATATCAGATAAAGTTGCTATCATGAATGGGTCGAAAACCCATTCGAAATGAACGATCACTATATCTAGCGAGTTTGCTAATATACATTGTGATTTTATAGTAGTGAATTAATCATCACTGACCACCGTAGCTCTTAAATGACTGTTACTGAAGACTTTGCATTAAAATTACACCGCATTATCGACACATATGATAATCAAAGAGATTAGATAGATATTACTTCTTATCCTGAAGTACTATATAGAACATGTAACGTATTAATAAGGTTAGAAAACAGAGTAAAGAATAACAGCTTGGTGAAGGTTTATAGACAATGTAGGCTATGAAAATAAGTAAGGAAATGCTTTGATAGACAAGGATTAAAATGCTTACATAACTTCCAAATACTTGTAGTTGCTGTATATACACCAAGTACATGATAATCGTACAATGCTATCATATACAGTGCATTTACGGGTCTTAATTATCTGCTCGGCAACTTATCGGTGGAAATACGTGAATGTTTACTGTCTATATCGGTTCATATTTGATACTAACATATCAATATACGAGTTATCAAAATTATATTCTTAGAGCAGGAGAGATAAAGCTAGATAATTAATAATATCTCTTTTAAATAATCGTGATCGATAAGATTAGGTGCATTAATGTTTTAAATTACACTGTCATAAATTGACTCTACGGCAAGGGAACGTACAGTAAAGTCTATAAGTAAACTACCGACTCAAATGCACAGCAAAGGGTCGTAAAGACAGAACTTTTATTGCCACAGTCACAACACTTACTCGATTTCGTCCTGTTCATATAGGAACCGGCTAACTTGTAAACAAGCATAGTCTAGTTATTATACCATATTAGGGATGGCATATCCGACTAAAATGGTCGCAGTACTGCCATAACTACCCTTGCGACACAAGAAAACAACACAGTATTTATAATAAACTTTACTTTAATCTGCAGAACTAATTCCCTAGCCTACGATGTAGTAACTTGCGAAGTATAAACTCGCTTACCACAATATACGGCATAAAACTATTACACAACTTAGCCTTAACTTGAATCACCTTTTATTGATCACAGTCCTTCTTATATACTCTTTCAGTAGTTATAAACACATTTACTATGCTATCAACATATTTTAATAACAAACATGTTATTACGATTGAATTATCAAATATAGACATTTGAGGTAATAAATAATTTCATGTATAAATCCACTTCGACTGTAAGCCCTGTCAAGCTCCTTAGTTCTCGATACTTACTTGTAACATATTACTATATCATCATAATATCATAATAACTTAGGTTATTACTAACAATAATAATTCCTAAAGTAGTAGTTCATACTTCTAAAAAGTCCAAAACAAAATGTTATCATAAACTACCCATTCACATCTAAGTTATTTTGATGACTGAGACAGATCCTAAGATACTTTTCCTATTACTAAATAATTTTAATATATTATCCATACGTAGTCCTACTCTAAATATTATTGGCGTATCAAATATCGTGAGCTAGAACTTAAATTATCTTACTACAACCTACACACAATAGCAATCAATATTAAATACGTAACAGCTAATCACAAATAATACTCGCATTAAGGCATTACTTATCTAGCGCTACAATTATCGATATTTACTATATTAGCTACTACTGTAATATTAAGCTATTCTTACGGTAAGGTAACACCCTAACATCTACGTATAATTTTGAGTACTTCAGTTCAGCCTTTACCACTAATAATACATATTACCGTGCTTAATTAAGTAGGAGTTGGTCTAGTTGCCACACTAAGACAATTTTATAGGCTTTAGTTAATACGATATCTGCAAATATATCTTTTATAAATTTTAGTAGAAATCAAATTATACTTTAAGGCAATCTTTCCGTTTAAACAAAGTAATTAGCAAACTCCACTGATGTTGGATTGGGTTGACTCTTCTATTCTAATGGACATGTTTAGCAGTATTGTAGTTAATTGCTGACGATCGTTATTAGAATTTCATTTTATTGATACCGTGTGATACACCAATAACACCATCATTATCATAATACATATCCAGTCACATCCTGAGCCGGATTGAAGTTGGAAAATGAATGAACTCCAGTTTATTTAAATTTTTGATTGTTATCAACAGGTTTGTTTATCTAACAGCGATAATTGTTATACTTTTCAGTTCGCATCAAAGACCGATTCTTCTAAGAAAATAGAAGTGCAGCTTTTGTGAGACGTCAACCAGTTATTTAATTCTCTATTCAATAAATGTCGCCATTACTAATGTGGTACTATAATGGATGAATTAATTACTAATTCTCTAATACAGTGCGATACTCCTACTTTAGTTAAATTATTGTTGGCTTAAATAACACAAAATAATACTATCTAACAGTAAAAATGGGTGCATTTGTAATAGCTAGGCGGGCATGCAGAAACAGTGATTTAACTTGGATTTACTTAGATGATTTATCAAGGGAAGCAGTTATGCTTAGAATCCAAGCAATAAGGTATGATTCACTAAGTAAATTCCTATATCAAATGATAGCCAAGTATAAAATGTTTCATAAGAGTATTTAAGATTGTAGAGATAAAAATACCTTAGCACGATATTAGCTATTAATACGAAATTTTAAGATCTTGCTACAGAAAGTCCACTGTAATAAAAAATTGAAAATAAACATAATAGAATGATTTTTGAAGAGTGTTACACACTAGGTAGTATGTCCATATACAAATATGACGAGTACATTCTACTGTAATTCACTGGTAATTATTTCGTGAAGGTATTTATTTAGTAAAGTACTACGGAAAATTTATTTTGTACGGCGTAAATTTTTCTATTAGTTCAATTGAAATAAAGTACTATGCTTTTGTAATTCTTTTGCACTATATTTGATTCGTCTCTATCCTATAGCTACCATGCTATGCGTCTATATTAAGGCGCTAAGACGGCCAGCAGCTCAATTGAAGAAATAAAATTCTATTGACCTATGTATGAATTATTGCTACTGTTTCCACTCTTTGCGCATTTAACCCTACTTTATAAAAGAAAAAAAATAAATGATATTGTAATCCCCAAGGATCTGCTAAGACTATAGGGTGTGATATTTTGCTGAAAATTTTTAGATCCAACACTTGCAATCAATTATTTACTTCTATTGTTCAGATGGTGTCATGCATCACTAAATTTGTGAGTTAATAAACCTTAATATGTGGGTATATATATATCTATTTCCGAAGTTCATTATGATTACTCAGGAATGAAGCTAGAGCAATAACATTGTATCAGTTGAGCCAACTGGAAGGTAATTAGTCCAAAGTAAAATTTCACGCTTTTAAAAATATCTGCTTTATTGATGAAGTTTAATGATTGGAATACTTTAATTACTAGCCTGATATAGTTAATGTAGTATCATATAGTATTAACAGACATGAAATGATTAACATAGAGACTAGATTAGATAATTAAACTTTCCTATTATTACGAGTATATACGCTATGACTAGGTGATTATTTGGTATAGACCAGTAATTAAACCATCGAAAACGGAATGAAATCTTAAAGTAAAATTCACCATATAGCAGTGTAATTTTAGCAACGTACTATTTTCTACTCTTAATTTAAATCAAAATCGAGCTTTCCACTGGCACGATGTTCATTCGTCGTCGCTATCCTCAAAATCGAAGTCTCCCAAACCAAAATTTTCGCGAAGGAATTTCTTACCATCAAAGTCATCGTTCCGTTCTGGTTTGATTTCTACTTTATTTTCAGGCTTGCGTTCTTCCTGTTCAGTTTCTTTGTGCATGGTGTTAAACATTTCTTCTGGATTTTTAGTTTCTTGGCCAAAATCTTTTGCAATGAAATCCCATATATCGAAGTTCTGAATAATATAGCAAATATCATATTAATACTTAATACTTAATCGGAACTAGCAATTTACAAATAATATTAAATTGCTGCATAGCTATATGACTACCTGAAATAGTACAGTAGAATTGGTACGAATCATTTTATTAATGCTTACAGATATATTAAAATAAAATATCCATTACCTCCATTGATTTTAAAGTTCTTGTACTTCTACAAAATTTAGGAGCGTTGAAGACGCTCAAATCAGAGATGCCAATAGTGAAATTTAGCCAAACTACGCCGTGGAGTGAACTACGGGTTTTGCTCTTGTAAAAGCCAGAATAGGAAATAGGAATACAACCAGGATTCGATATGAAATAGGAAGCACCAGAACTATATGTAGAACCAAATCTCTTGTAAGATAAAATATCAAAAGGAAGGGCACCGGCACCAAAATTCAGTGTTTTCATGTAGTGAAAAGAGCCTAGCGAAGTAGCATTAATTGAGAATGGTTTTACTTCATTTAATATTAAAATTGGCTTACTTACGTAAGAATGTACAGAACCAGTATATTATAAGGATGATACTATACAATTCTTTATCATATAAATTACAGAATAATTTTATAAGGATATCTTTAATACTTACTTGGTGTACAAGTCCTTTTCAGACTGCCTCTTAATTTAAATGTAGTGCATGTGCCATTACGGATAGAATGATATTCGTTCTACCATCAGTAATATGAATCAGAAATTTAGATCTTAATGGCCACATAGTCTATTATTGTGTATAACTGAAGTTTATTGATACTGTATCTCTTTTTTAATAATTAAATCGATTCGTAATTGGTTTCTATCAACTCTAATATGGAATAGATCGTATGAAATTTTATGAAGATACAACATATTTCCTGTTTTTAAAACTTACGCTTCCATAATCAGTGATAAACGAAAATCCCGCTGTTGGATTATTGTATCGAATTCTTTGATTGCACTGGTCATAATAAACCTTATTAATTGCGCCGTATTGCGATATCGATGAGGAATATTTATTAAAAGTACCACTAGCAAGCAAAACTGAGTATTGCCTAGGAAGGCAACAAGCCGACGATAAAGCAAAAAGTGCGGTTAAAGTAAGCAATTGACGCATCATCATGTTTGCGATTTCCAGAAATCTCTAACGTTAAATCACGTTCTATAGCAAAATTACACAACGATTAAGAAAAATCTGCTCGTCTCTAGAAAATCAGGCTTTTATATCTTTTAAATTGATTCTATTATTCACCATCAACGTTGACGGGGTTTAGTAAAGGCGTTACTTGGCAATAGATCATCTATTGTTCACTACAGGTTGTTGAAGGATGATCATAATTGACTTGGGTGTATTAAATGCACCATTTAGTACGTTAACTAACAATTACTGTTACCACTATCAATTGTGCTAATACGTCATTTATGTAAAAAATACTGACGCATTATAACTTTTAATGAACTATTTAAATGATTTAGACATGAATAGATATTGCTTGCTTTTAATAGTAGTGCATTAGCTGATCTTAAAGATAATGAATTCAGAAAAATTTAATGTACGCTACCGCCACAATAAGTTATTGTGTGTGATGATTTATTGCTCCGAGGAGAATCAGATGATTACCGTCAAAGTGCCTTGATTGACATCAATTAATAAATGACAGTTATTAATAAATCTTAAAAACATTTATCTCTTAGTAATAAAATATTAACTATGTGGAGACTAAAAGCTCGTTTGTATTTCCAAATTGTCTGAATTCTCTTACACTATTTTATGGATAATCAATTGATATTCTTCCTAGAGAGTGTTTTAAACAGAAAGAGATATAATATAGAACGTCATGTTCTCCATATCAACAGAAATTGCTACCTAAAATTGTACTAGCAAAATATATTCTATTTCCATTAAATTAATTGAAATAAAAACTATTGTGGATGCTTTATAAGTCATAATTATAATTAATGAAATAGGATAATAAAAGAATTTATTTTGTAGCCAAGAGGAAGTAACTATGAGATCACAATACACAATATCACGTTCACAGAATGATAGTTAATATTACTCACGAAATAATAATAATTGATTTCGTCGAGTAGTCATTCATATTAATAGCTGTGAATTTTCAACTAGTCTTTTTCAAGTCTGGAATATAACGGATACTCATGTTATTGATTGATGTATGAAGTCTATTCAATAACGAATTTTACGCTTCTTTTTCCCTACTTTTATTTATACTTGCACATCGATGTTATATTTTGTTAATAGTAGACATTGAATTCAGATATTATATCATAGAATGATTGACGTCAGCTAAATTAATTTAGTTATAATGTAGAGTAGTAGTGTACAGCACAATTTTTATGCCATTTTCGCTAAAAAATAAAATAGTTGTCAACTAGTAATGGATGAAATGTAGGAACGTTAAGCTGAAAACTCATTCTAGCTTCATTTAAGATTGTAGAGATAGTATTTTTCTATGCGAGATTAAATAAATGAATAGACATTATGCAAATATAGTTGTTAACGCAAACCTGTTGGCAAGCACAAAACAAAGACATAAAATAATAGCTTTCTTTCAATTCACTTAGTCTATTGATTTTTTGGTATCCAATGTCCGGTGGGACTGATTACTTCCTTCATTTAATTACTTTGCGTTCAGGATGTGTAGATATGACTGGGATAAAGACAGTACATATAATAATACAATAATTATTTGTGAATTCGAAAAAGTATGAAATTCTAAATTGATATTTTAATGAAATATTTAATACATGATTAGACTATAAGAGAAATAAGGTTATTACGAAGTAAATTAATATGAAAATTCACTATTTGAGCGCAGCTTTAAATAAATTATATTCTTAAACTATGTAAGGTTTAGTCTGATTTTACTTTATCTTTGTACAAGTATTACTTTATTTTATAACCCAATAAATGAAGTCTTATATTCGCATTGAACTTCCGAGTAGCTATCGATTGTAGATCTTCATACTAGTCCTACTAGTCCATCTCGTGCACTATTTCAGCATGACTTTGTGATGTGATAAAGTAAATAGGTAATCTAGAATTGAATTAATTTGAAAATTCTCATAAATTAGAGAAGTTTACGATTTACTTTTTCGCTAAAACGATTTATAGCGAGATTGAACGCAACATCATCAATGCTAAACAAGTTGACAACGACAGAATTTTTATTTAGCGAATGTCATGGATGTACGATACATTTTAAATATTGAAATGCTGTGGTAGTTATAACAGTCAGCAGATGAATTTCAATGCGCAAGTTACGAAATAGACGATTATTAATTAGGAGAAATCAGGCCTAAAATCTACTATCTAGCCCAAAAATTTATGTAGATGAATCAATACTAAAGATACTCGCTGCTTTTAACATATGCTATTAACTGATAAAGTTATAAAATTTCATAACGTTTATCGAATAATACGCATAGTGACTGGCAAATAGAGACATATATAGTCACATCTAAATATTACTGAAAACATTTTCGATGATATTGGAGAATTTTTCGCCCTTTTCTGTACTAACATCCTTTTTGAAAGATCTGTTGATGACATCCATCAAGTCCAATTCCTGTCATGCAATAATTTTGTATAATGTAAGATAATATTAATTGAATAGTTGGTAATGTAGGCTAAATTATTGTATACAATAACATTTATAATTAAACTGACAGATATTATAACGTTGAAATATCGAGAATATATGAACCTGGTTAACTATTCCTCGGGTAAATCCTTTGCAATTCTTCGGTTTATCAAAAACACCTAGATTACTTATTCCAATCGTCATATTTACCCAAGAACTTCCCCAGACTGAATAACCTCTTTTATTTTTGGAGTATCCACCACTTGCTAGAGGTACACAATCTGTAGAATAAGAATATATTGATCCATAACTGCCAGTTTTATAATTTCTAAAGTAGCCAGAGACATGGAAAGGCAATTTTCCGGCTCCAAAGTTGTAGGTACCCAAATTGATCAAATGTGACCCCTCTATTAGGAAGTTCATTATAAAAAGATAATAGATTAATAGTTATGCTCTAAAATCAGCAATATCAGTTTATTACTTGAATGTACGGCACATGTTATAATAATTCAACTTTTACAGGCAATGGTGATACAATATGTCTTACTTGGAGTACACAATTTGGTCAGATTACCACGTAATGTGTAAGCACGGCAAGTACCGTTTTGCATATAAACGTATTCTCCCTAGAAAATATGAATCGCCTCTTGAATCAATACACTATACAATATTATCAGTGGTTATGATTTTGTAGGTTCTATCCGTTATCTAACCATTTGATAGTTGTAGATGTAAGAGAGTTTATATTTGGGATAATCATATCTGGCTCGATTATTGCAGTGGTCGTACCATATTTGCATTGCTGATGATGTGTGTTGTGCAGTATTGCCATATTTATAATTAGACATGTAACCAACATAAGCATGAAATTGGTTTGGATAGCAGCAACATGAAGCTAGAGAGATAAAAATGGCAACGACAAAAATATAGCGAATCATGGCGTATTTTGATACAGTAACAACAACAAGACTTAAGAGTAATTCTCAAAACTGCTAAATCGTTGAGTGAGATATAGCGAAATATTTGATTGCCTTAATTTAGGGCGCTTAGGTTATTTATATAGCTAGATTGACAAAAAACCGTAGAGATAATAGGGGTGGAGTCTTAGTTGCCGATATGAATAATTAACATAGACGTATAAACCGCTTAAGGCAATCTTGTGAATAACTCGTAAACTATTCTCTATCATCTTATTGTCAAATTCCCATTTTATTTCTATGCTATCTAATGCTGTGCACATTCAATGACCTTTAGATTGCCTTAATGCTTGTCAATGCTTTGTCTTTTAGCTCATAATTATTATTATCTCAACTGCCTAAAAGAAGATCTTTCTGACAAGAAGGATATTGTCTTTAGCACCTTACTGAGCCGTCAGGTAGGGTGGGTATGAGCTACTGACTCCACTCTTACAAATTTTTACGCAATAAAGTAATGCCGGCTAATTCATTGCTCATGTAGATACATGTTTATCCTACTTTAGACTGGCATATAAATTATATATAGTAAACCAATGAAGAATTAATAATATTGATCTCTTAATTAAACGGCGATAAAATTAGCAACTGCAGTTACTGTAATTTGAACTATTTAATTTTAAATCTTAAAAAGTGTTATGCGAAACGTTTTAAGATTAATCTCACCGGGGTAATTAAGTTAATTGATTTATGGCCTTTAGGTTGTGATTGTCAATTATAATAACTATTCATACGAACGTGAGCGTATAGCTAAACCACTGATATTCTATTAATTGTTTACGAAACGAAGATTCCATTATCTAACTAGCTTTACGAAAGAAGTCAGTACAACATACCGCCTGCTATTATTTTCGTATAGTTATGACGTGTATCGTCAATTTAAGATTAAACAAAATAATAATAGTGAAAAACAATAATATAAGACGATAATTGAAGAGACTTCTTAATATAACAAACTCAAATCGAGCCGCCTTCTTACCAAGCTATTATTAAATGCCCCTTAAAGACATCATTATCATGAAGGGTGAACCTTCTTCGGAGATTCTAAACTCATTTATAACAATTAATTTATTCCTTTAGTGTAATTATTTAGTTCATAACCTTAGATTCGTTCAATGACTGAATGAGGCGGTAATAAGAACTCCTTTTCTGAAATACTTTACGCTCTTGCCCTATTGTATTTTTAATTCACTTCTGAGTGAATGGAAATAATTCACATACTGTTGATGTTGTATAGATATTTCACGATAAAATTTATAGTACAAAATTTAATCGCAAATAAGGCTCCTAACGTCGCTAATTATAGTATATTAATTGAAGTATTACATGATTGCTTACTAGTCATTGTCAGATCGATCAAGTCCTTTATTGAATGAACTGTATTCAATACTATATTCTCAGTTAATTATAAGAAAGTTTCGTGTTATAATATTACATCGTTGAGAATGAGTCGAAGATTGTTAAAATAAATAAATTTTGGTGATGACTTTTGCTAACTTTACATACTTTATCCTTACATTTATAGTGTAGTTAGAATGGCTGTAAAAAGTCATTGAACAGTACATTTGATTGATGTTATGGTGTTATTATTTCATGGCCTTGATCAGACCAAATTTTAGTGTCTGAAATACAAGTGTTTTACGTAGAGCGAGTTATGCCACGATAAATTTATTCGAAAAATTTAGCCTTTGAGATAAGAGTTGACTACCTTGCTTTTTTATTGAATGATTCATTATTAAATGGAAACTATCGAATTGTTGTAATAACTCAAGTGTTGATCATGAGTTAAACAACTTATTGTTACAGAGCTAACATACTAAGTAAATTAATAATCTCAAGGGAAATGAATTAGAAAGCTAGATTAATTACGATAGGTGCAGTGATACGTTAAATATAAGTGTAAGATATCATCACTATATAGACCATTCAGTTTTCTTGTCAACGATGAAAGGATCAGTTAGACAAGGTTTAACTAGCGATAAGTAGATTATATGACCATTAATTTTATATAGATGCTGCAAAATGGGACGCGGTAGCTTGGAAAGATTTTCGTTGATATAATTTATTCCCAATTCAAATCCTCATCATCATCATCTTCATAGTTACCGTCTTCTTCCCTGAGTTCTGATTCTGCTAAACGTTCGTATGTCTCTAGTTCCTGCTGCATACGATACTTTTCCTGGCGCTGCTTCATTTCTTCTAGATAACGAAGGTTTTCTTGCTGACGTTCCATCTCAACTTTATCCATGAATTTATTTATTCTACTTATAAATTTAGTTTTTTTCTCATCTAACGGTTGACTAGATTTACTGTGAATGTCTTTCATCAAATCAAATTCCTAGGAAACAATTGTACATTAATGAATAATCGATAGTAGCTACTGTATGCTGTTATATTTTCTCCAAAAGCCGGTATAATATTTCACAGATTAACGAACCCTTTAAGCAGTTCGCTAACAGATCGCAAATATCAGCATATACTAGTGGCCAATAATAAAATAAATGACTTACATTAATGTGACGCGTAGAACTTGCGGTTGATTGACAAGATTGAGATGGACGGAATAAGACAGAGCTATTAAATTGCAATTTCATGTTAGTCCATACAGCTGTAGAGGCGTATCCGCGTTTGACATCATTTGAGTAAGATGTTGTAGTCAATGGCAAACAGCCTTCCGATATTGTATATATCCATCCGCGGGCCACATTGGCAGAAACAGTTCGTTTTCCGTACGCCGTGAAAGGCAGTTTACCGGCACCGAGATTGTAGTGGCCCATCGCACTATTGTTTACTACAAAGTAGAAGTATGTGTTGCAATTACACCTCTATCGGTTGATTATTTCTAATTGAGTTGATATTATTTTGTAATAGATTTTTGAGATACAGTTATAATTTTTCATCTTATTTAAAGTAGTGAAGATGAAAAGATACGGTACTAGACAGTGCTAATTGCTATTTGAGATGTTATTCGTACACACTCACTGAAGCTTATGAATATTGAATATATATATATTTATTTTTGATATATAAAAAAGGTGAGAGAAATATGGATGTGTGAAAAATGGCTAAGCTTCTCATATTGGAAATTTTTAAGTTGAGTTCAGTATATATTCATATTGAAGAGCAGTAAATACGAAAAAATAAAAAATATTAGCTTGTCTATTGTATATTATCCATTACTGTAAGGGAGATTTCTGGTAGATAATCTAATTCTAAGGTTGAAAACACTTTATCTTGCTCTTACGTATAGATAGGCAGATTTTCTGTAAATTCCTGGTGGATATCCTGGAACTGATGCAGTGTGTGGCATTGACTTGATTATACAGGAAACCCTATTTCCAAAATAGAGCAAAACTTTAAAGCAGTATTCCTGAATAGTCTTAGTGATTGTAACGTTAGCAGATTAACTGATTTAAATAGTTATTGAAGTTAATAGAGACCTATACTAGTAGAGATATCATATCTATCATGATAATTGCAATAGTATTGCCGACTAAAGTATATGAAAAATGTAATAGGAAGCTATAGAAACTTGTAAGATGGCTGATGATGTTTTGCCAGATGTATATATAATAATTCGTTAACAATAGACTTCCAATAAATTGTAGTAAAAGCTATTAATATCCACTGATATTTTCTTTGGATTTAAATTTTATTACAGTGATATACTGTCGATTTGAATGACTAACATAAGAAGTTATCGACTGGAATTATTATGATCTCTGTAGTGGCGTAATGTTAATACGATTCTGCTTAATACGTGCGTAGGAATATGAATTACTAAATTTTCAGAGTAATTAGTGATCCATGAGTATGGGTTTAGTTTAAAGCTATAAGATACTTGCACTAATGGACTACCAAGCACCCCAGTTGAATTTATGATGAATTAAGTAAACTAGAGTAACTGTTACATAATTTACAATCATTACATATCGCTAGTCATTAGAAAACATACATTTAGATAATCATAAATGATTTTCTTGCTCTCTGAATACTTCACCATTATCTTGTTATTAATGGAATCATAAGCATATATCATTGAATGACTTGTAAGATTAAGATTACTACGAATGCGTGGGTTATAAGTATCAATGTTAACTAGAAATCTTTCTGGCAGGCAACAGCCTAGAGCCATGGTGATTAATGTTGCCAAAACAAGGATATAACGCATAACTGTATTGGTGATGCTCTAGTTTTTCTTCTCCGCGAGTTCCAATATTTTGCCTATTTCAAAAATTGTCAATGAAGCTGGCAACTAGTTGCCGTCAACCCAATTAGCTGACCGGAAATAATGCTAATATTGTTAAAAAGGAATATTATAAGTAGTATAGTAATGTTATTAATAGGTAAGTAATACAACGCTTTATTATTGTAATTAATCATTAATCATGATTTTTTGAAATCCTGGTTGACGTCTATCGTTTACTTGACAACCTGTTTCACATTGATGGTATAGTATTGTATTAACACCGTGGCAGTTGATTTACATAATAATAATGAAAAGTTCTTATTATAGTAACGTTTAATAAAATTTACATATTGACCGTAAATTACGGTTCGTAATGTTTCGACCAGAACAATACGGGAAGATATCATAACAGTACTACTATAGAAGATGTTAGATTTTAGGAGTCATAAAACTAGTAACTGCCTTATAGAGGATTCTTGCAATCGCTTACGAAACAAGTAGTAAAATCTGTAGATATGCGAATACGATAAGGATGAAATATTTTAATATTGATCAGTTTCAGAAACCTGTTGTTGGATTTCTTCAGCGACAAAAAATATCTAAAACTTTATCGTTGAAGTACTTTATTTAAATTTGTTGCATTGCTCAAATTATTGTCGTAGAATATTAACGAGTTTTACATAAATATTACGTACCATATTGTATTACGTGTTATGGCATACCTAATATTAGCAGAACTTTGATTGGCAACATACAGTGCAAAAGTTATTATTAAAGGACTACAACGAGGAGAATCTATCAATGTGCTGAATTAGTCGTGCTGACTTACGATTGTCTGGATTATATATAAGTTACGGCCAAATCCATAATCGGCCACTGGCAGTAATATATATGTTATATAATATTAACGGGTTGGTGAATTGTAAAAAAGATACTTAATTTAATAAATCTATGAAGCATGTAATTTACTTTCGTGATTATTGTTTATATTGCTATTAGTTCGGTACCTCTAGATTTCGATTTCGTAATATATATATAAAGTGATTTTTTTCTTATTAATTATCTTATTGCCAGTATATATGTATGTAAATTTTCGTTAGCTTCATTAAATTCGTGCTAGTTTTCAACTCAAAAAATGCGAGCTACGCGAATTCCACGTTCAGACTGCAAATAAATCCAGCAACAGTCTCCGTATCTGAGTTTTTTTTGCGATGTACGGTACCCGGTATCATATAGTAGTTTATCTGACATATGAAGTAATGGGCTTGCTCTAGCTCTGAGAACTTGTTGGTACAGTACGTGAACAGTCATAATGTTCTGATAACTAATTACATTAATTAGTCCAAATATTGGCTCTCTGTCACTTACATCATACGCGTACCAACGGAATATCCTATCGCATCTCTGATATTGTGACTGTACTAGTCATCAACTGTATGCTGTTTAGTAAACCTGCAAATAATAACGATACAGTAGATATACAAAACTTACTGCAACAGTAGATTAGTTCTCAAGATTGGACTGTGAATGAGTAACGTATGAATACACATACACGTAGATTACATTGCTCTCGCTGCTTGTCCTTAATCTCATCACCACGAAGGTAACTTATCTATGTATCGTCTCCTAACTTTAATTGTCAATTAAACGCTACCTGCTCATCAAGAATATATAACCCTACAGCTGACAGATTCAATGCCACAAAGGAGTTAATAAGGCAAACTAATGCGTCGGAAAATGTGCTATCGTGCATGTCTTCTTGTATATCTTAAAACTAATGTATCGCATTGCAGTAAGCATGGTAGTAAATAGTGTATGAGTAAAATCGTGGTCCACGTCACGTAATGAGGAATGTACGCGTTTATCATCGTTCTAAATCTTTTTATCAAAAAATTTAATTGATCCGGATCAGACCGTGGAGGTCTCTAAATTCAGACCTTTGATTTGTATTATACATTTCAAATATAGATAGTCGTATGTAGTCATTTACGGCACCTATAGTTCCTAGCTACAGCTTTACAATCACTTGATATACAGTATAGTACTTACAGTAGACAGGAATGCGTTATTTTAATTGTGCAGCTATGCTCTCTACATACTCGTATGTCGTTTTATAAGCTACAAATCAGTGTTTTGCGATTGGGAGAGCCTAATTCGTTTCGAATTTCGGAGTGAATAAGAAGTAAGATGCAAAACACTGCTATAAATAATACTAATTTCTGCTTCATAACCTCACTGACTTAACATCCTGTCCATTCGCTGTACGTTATTATTATCTTAAGGTTAATGTTACGGCTAAAGCCCGAATCCCGCGTATTATGCATAATAGCTGGTTAAAGCCCGAAATAAGAGTAAGAACTTTGTTAATATAAACTTAAGATACAGTATATTCCTACCTATCTATACCAATGTGACTCGTAGAACCTTGTTGACAATATTTAATTCGTAAACAAATAGTATAAAAATAGCTTCCCTTCCTATCAAGCAGCCTTTACAGTTCAAGAAAGAACTGCTACAAGCTGATTGTCTAGTTTCACGTTTATACTCCTGTTACTATAGAAGGAACGGAGCAATGAATCTGGAGTAGATTGTGAATACGACCTAACTGTTGGTGATTGCTAGCAAATTTTTGGAAACCGTTTATTTAACACTGGAAAAGTGATTTTTTAGATTTATCAATAGGAAGTGAGTCTTGTAATAATAAAAATTCGATTTTGAGATAACAAGAAGAATAGAAGTTCATTTATTAATGTAATTTACAGTTAATTAAGTAACTTCTTAATTACAACATAAAATGTAGAATAACGAAATGCCTATAGACTAATCCTTTCTCTTATCAATACTGGTCGCGTATAACGGAATTATGGGATACAGGACATCTAGGATATGTTTTCTTCTAATCCAAGCTGTTAGTGTAAGCGTACATGTCTTTCAGCAAATCTTAACCTAGCATGGTGGATAGGATCGAACCTCTGTAAAAAAAAGAGCAAACCGATTTTAGAGGCATACAGCTAGTGCTTTTATCAAGGTTAACATACACTTCTGTTGTTGTTATTACTAACCTCAAGAGTCGTTGTGGCGAATTCGGAACATACGGGAGGTAGGTTAAATACGGAAGGATCTGTGATACTTGCGGTCATATTGGAAAATGCAATAGCTGATAAAGACAATTGATTCGGCATTTGAATATATGCAGTTTCAGCTACTGGAATACAATTCTTTGAGTTAAAGAAAAGTTGAACAGATGTGCCCTGAAAAATGAATGAATAGCCATCGACTTGAATTTTATTCCTTGATCCTCCAAATTCAAAAGTTCCGAGTGATTTTATATCTTCTAGATTTTTGAAATAATATAACAATGAGTTAAGCCAATAAATGACGCTTAAATGCTTAAACCAGAATTTTAAGTCCCACTTGGTAAAGTTATTTAGTACTGATCACAATAGAATAAGATTAGAAAATGAATGATGCTAAATGTTCACACAGCCAAATACTTACGTGGTGGGTAATCTGGAAAGCGTTGTGTTAAGTTAGAGCTTGTACATTTATCACCATTGATGATAGTGTAAGACTTGTGCTAAAAACAAGAGTTAAAGGAGAGAATAGTTGAATTGCTTATCAATTAAAGCCCATTTGTATATGATGCATAATTTAAAAATCGTTAGTCCATCTATTGGATTTGATCCAAGCTAACGTTATGAGTCCGATCCGTCGGCAACGCAACGGAGTAAAAGACTAGTATACTTACAATTAATGTGTACGAACACGGTACAGATTCGTTAACTTATTACTACAGGTATGTACCAAAGACTAATAATTAGGTTAATTCGATTGGATTGACGGTGAGATCAATCAGCACTCAAACTGGGAAAGGGAAATACATCTCGTAATAAGGATAAAATCAAAAAATATCAATCAGGTATACGGGTATAGATTTACTTTTTCATAAGACTGCATGATGCACCTGTAACTTTTCTGATTTCTCGACTTGAAACAGTTACTATTGCACGCGCATTGTCAAATAAAAGCGATCAATATTAATACGATTCCCTAAGTACTGTAATCACGTAAGATCTATTTAATCAATCGATGCGGTCTCATACTGATTTATAATGATCCTGTCTTCCCTAAGCGCTCGCCGATTTACAAATTTCTTACAGAGTGTGAGAAAGAAATTGACAACATTGATAAGAACGACGTTCACTACCAGCCAATCAGCTTGGCACACGAACACTTTTCTGACGAAATCGTCGGAAAATTGAGCCAAATGTATATCCGTATTATACGTACGTATACGTTATAATTTCGAGCAGCTATTGCACAAAATACGTGTATTTGGATGTTGTACCCGTTTATAATCTTGAATAACTGTAATTCGGGTTCCATCGATATTTTCGTCAAGACGAATCTTCTGCAGTACAGAGTCGTAATAATAACGGATTCCAAGTTCTAGTAAGTCTAATTTGGCGCCTGGTTGCATTTTTTTAGTCGCTATTGCATCTGCTAAAATACCCTGTAGTTGCTTAGGGTGTGTACATGCGCTTGATATCTCCAAGAAAACCAACAAGGTCAAAAAGATGAATTGTACACGAGTCTTCATGTTGAACGAGAGTTTTTCCAATGGATTCCTCTAGTGTCTCTCATTAACTTTCATGTACAGGTTGTACTGCAGATGAGCTTTCACTGCACTAGTTATTGGACGAATGATGACATCATTTTATTCATACTGTACACTATACAGTGTACATCGAATGTGTACCATGACTGTATGTTTACTGTCTTCCGACTTCTCACCGTCATTAATAAACTGTACATGATAAATAATAATAACACCTTTACTAAAACTTATAAAACTTTGTCCGTAGGGAAAGGAAGGAGAGACGGACGAATCGGAGAGTCAGACGAATGGACAAAGTCTTGTTAAGATAAGAAGTCCCCAGTTTTAAAGACTGCTTCAATAATGACAGAAAACCGTGGAATTGCCACATGTGTCAACTCTTTAAAACTACAAGATATATTACGAAAAGTGAATATGTACTGTACTATTTGAAAAAGAATATTTTACCAAAAATAAAAAAATGAATCAGTTTCTTGTTAGAGCGAAGCTATTGTACTATACCTAGCTCCGACTGTAGTTCACGGTTAAATAATATTTATAATTCATTCATTAATTCTATTTCATTGTCAATCAGCCATGAAATTCTGTGGAAGATGTTGTGAGACTCTGTCTTCAGCTCGAAATACGGTAGTGAAACAAATAAGATCAATAAGACGTAAGTGGATGAATACACTTGAATGAACGCAGTTTGTCTGCTGCGTACACTCGTACAGTAGTCTGAGTAGAAATGTCTATACAGTGTCTTACAGCCTCACGTTAAATTAGATTTCTATCCTAGCTTAAAAGCAGCTGTTTTTACCCGGCTCGAAATTAAATTACTCTGAAATGCTATGTTATAAGGAAGAGGTAAAAATTAGAAAGTGCGCATTATACTATTCAGAAAACAAATTTACGAAAGGAATTTAGTACTCAAGTATTACAGTGTGGTAATTATTTCAAGTGTGTCCGTGAAACTGACTTAATTCAAGGAATTTTATGATAATTTGGATGCAGTATTGTTTTAAGAGACATATATCGTTACAACGTTACAACTATTTACTCCTTGTAAATAGATTTTGGCTATGGTATTGTATAAGCGAGAATCAGTTCAATTCAAAGGAACGACATTTAACAATCAAATAATATATGATTGATAAAGACTATATTAAATTAAATTTTATCATTATAATTAATTCGAAATAGTGGAATGACCGTTTTGCTACAATAGTAACCTGCTATTGTATTCGTCACAATCAGATATAGGTTTCTTGTTATGCAATTAAAGATATTAATTACTGTAATTAATTTTTGAGTATAAAATACGACGCAGCTTAAAATAGCACTAATCAGAAATAGAGAAGCACAGCTGTGATAAGTTCAGATACGAGTAGTCATAATCTAGCAGAATATGTGACATACAACATATCGTAGGCAAGTAAAAGACGTACCCGCAGGAAAGTTTATCTAAAAGATACGATTACTGCGGTAGTGACTACCGATATGAAATCAGAATTTATACGAATTGTTCATTTGCAGCAATTAATTCGAAATATACCTCAGTATTGTTCAATATTGACTTAATATCAAGTGCACACTAAAATACTAAATTTACTAGTATTTCGAAACTTATACTCGTATTATTAATATATTCTATAATTATGTTTCAAAAGTGTTAACTCGATCCTGTAATATTAAAATCTGTTCAGATAACATGTAACTACTGTAATTGAATTGAAACAAGTTTTTAGCATACTTCTCTTAGGATAAGTGTGAATGATACGATAATAAGTGCTTACGATGTCAATTCATACTAAGAGCACCTAGGAACTGTGATTAGTAACTTCCATCTGCGGTTCAAAACCGTACTGTACGTTTGTTGTTTATATGTGCCGTACTCCTAAGGAAGAATCTGAGAAGAACAGTTGCGATATCATTACAAATTTGTTGAGTGAATTGTTTAGCTGTGTGGATGGTTAATTCAAAGTGAATAAAATTGAAATATAGAGTAGTTTCCTTTTTGGTACGATTCAGCTTAGACCGTATATGTAAATGTTGTACATTACAAATAAATGAAGCTATTGTTCTACAACCTACAGTACATGCATTTATTCCAACAGCAGTAACCTTGCTTGAAAATATTGGATACTGTATCGCATATTTAAATATACGATACAGTATCCAATATTTTCACCAATAGTATTATAGTTTACGATATACTGTATATTACTGAATAACTTATGAAAGAATCAGTTTGAATGATAGTGTTAATTAAATATTTACGGTCTTATGTGTGATTAGAGAATAACTTTAAGTGGTAACTATATTTGGCATCATGTAGAAGGTTATTTTATATTGACTCAATAAACGGATTAACGAGAGCACAATATCAATTTCTGGCGTTCTGTTTGAATCAAGCACGCTTTATAACAGATTGACTTGGCAAAGGAGCAGATGGTCCATTTCATATAAATGTAAGGAAAAGCTCTTGTTTTATCTTTAGTTAAAAATTAAAAATTTAATCAACTAAATCAATGAGATTATAAAGAAACAAAAAAGACCATCAAATATTCGAAATGCCATAATGCATCATCATACGTAAACTTCTTAATTTAAATCTTCGTAATCGTACATTGATCGCATCGCAATGTATATAAAAAGATATTACACATATGTTACTCAACAATTATCCGCATTTAATAAATCAGAGTCCGGCTTCTGCCTTCAGCAATGATAAATAAACCCACAAAGTTAAAAATAGGTCTTGAATATCGCCATCACGTAGCTGATATTTTATTAAGGTAAATTATAAGATGTTCATTTTTCTCTGTCATTTTCAACAACGCAATTTCTTGACAAAAAGTTAGAATACTCCTTTATTGGTCATAAAATATTTCAAACGATGCAATCATTCACGTCCTAAAACAACTATTGGATTCTTTAGGTTAAGAGGGGTGCTGTACGATTTAAGCATATAGCAAATATTTACTACCTCGAAACTTTTACGAGATTCTGAGATAAAGAATATGATAAAAGCATAGAAATTTGCTCAATGTCTCCTACGCGTTTATGTAATTGCTTAATCATGATTATTGTAATTTCAATTTGACAGGTGCCATCTTATGTAAATATTTTAATCTGTCGAAACTGTGTTATTTCCGGATTTAATTAATTTTACCTTGCTAGTATTAGTCGTAGCAGCATTTACTTTTATTATTAAGAATTCTTCATTGAGACGGTTAGCAAAAGAAGCTATATATACCCCTTTAACAGATAATTTTGATGAATACTTACAAAGCAACAACCTTTGTGGCTCCTCTTAACTGTTCGATTTTACGAAACAGTATTGATTCATAGGCTTTAGGGTAAGAAATACTTCATTTTTTTATAACAAGCTATGATAGAGAATCTTTCGAAATAGAATATTTATGTAACTCTTCGTGTAACTATTTGCTAGTGCCACATAATTTCACTGTTTTATCTTTCTTACGTGGTATTATATTAATTTATGTAATCTAATTACTATTACACCGTAGTACATAGAATAAATTAATTGCATAATATTATGTTGGTTTAGTTATGTTGATATAATTATTAAAACTATTTGCTGTTTCCGCGACATTAAGCTGATAGAATAGAATAGCACTTGTCGCCTAAATTTCCCTGAGTGGTATTTATAAATTTATACCATTTGCTCCTTCATTTATAATGCATCCGTATATACGGATATATCGTCTATAGCCTTTAAATAAGAAGATTAAAGGCTATTATAGTCATATAGTCATAAATCAATAGAACATATCTTAGTTTACTTAACTAATACAAGAAATCATTTGCGTATGCAACAAAAGTGTGCATTCGATGTAACAGAAATTTTGCCGCTTCAGAGACTTTTGCCATTTCTGAGGGTGATGATTTACTAAGTATGATGGTTAATTCGAAGTACGAATAGATTGCAAGTCCATTGCCACTATTACTATTCCCATAAAATTAAAAAATTGAGATTATTTCCTTAGAATTCAGTATCATGGGGATAGAAAGATACAGTATTACAGTGTATCGACATATAAACTATTGTAAAGGTAAAATGAGGACAATTTGGCTTCGCTAATAACTGCAACTGGGACATAAAATAAGCATAAAATGCATTTATAGTGAATTTTTATAAGTAATCACATATGAAGCTTACAAATTTAGGAATATAAAAAATAACATACGTAAGATAATATATATAATCAAGGCCGCTGATGTTAAATGATTATATATGGGCAATGCAATCTAGTATACTGTGACATACTAAATATTGGCTCTAACTATGTTTTCAGGAGTTACGAGAAAAGATGAAGGTCGATACGAAAATTTTAATATTTACTTTAATATTTGCCAGTATGATTCAAATCCAATGTCGAAGAATTATTGACATAAGTGATATTAGGTTTTCATTCAATCCATTTCGGCAACGAGAAGATCAGCCAGTCAAAGAACAATCGCAGGGCGCCCCAAACAACAAAGAGGAGGAGACGGAGGAAACAACTCTTGCTAACGATGCTGATCATTCTGGAAATAATAAGACCGTAAGTTTACCATTTATCATGCTTGCATTACTATGAAAAAAGGAATTTACTGCATAGAAATATTTTATCAGTCGTCCTATAGTAAGCATTTATTACTTACATATATTTTACCTAAGAGAGTCCTCCTGGAATCAATTCCCGAAGCACGCTGATATGTTAATCTTAAGCATTGTCTATTCTTCTTACGCTATCGTTTCTTATTAAACTGAATATCAATAAAGCACTTTCGCTAAAGATTTACATTGACTATTCTTTTAAATCAACTGTATTATGGATACATTACGCTTCAGGAATTTTTGTTATGTTCCTACTCTTAATAATTAAGTTATAATAAAATTAGTCGACATAATGAAGGTTGTTAGGTAACATATTAAACATATAAGGGGTTTCAGAATTTGAAATAAATAGCAAGATAATATTATTGGATAGCTTAGATATTTTGCGCAAAAATAACAGCGGTGATGCTTTAGATGCTGAATATAATTACGTAAAACGGTGAATGATATGATTTTGCCTTCGCGTATTACCGATATTACCATTATAATAAAATACAGTATCTATTTTTAAATCTCTGCCGATAAACATTTTTTGCACCTGATTTAATTAACTTTGAACATTTGTGATTTTCTATTCACAGATTACTTGTCATGAAAGCAATGCTGATTGCAGTGATGGACTAAAATGTTGCGACTCTTTCTTTCGCTGTTACCGCATTATGGGAAATTACATATGTGCTTCATTTCTACTTGAAGGTTTAGGAGCCCTTAAAGCAAGTCAAAATTACCAACGTGATATCATAAATTCTGAAGATTAATAGTGTTTTATAGATAGTACAAGAATAAGTTACTAGTATTGTACTTATTGTATCCTCTATAAAATTATAACTAAATCTATATGTTACATGAGTGTTAGGCTACTGTCCGAAAGGGTATTATTAGTCAGCAATGCTCTATTACCTAAATTCGAGCAACTAGTACATTTTTAATAATTTACTCAAGTATAATGATTCGACTGATAATCCTGATATTTGCTCAAATTTGTAATATCAATTGACTGTTAAATACCGTACACAAACTCAATAAATCCAATTAATATGCCGCAATCTAGTTTGAGATGAAGGTTTCAATTTGAGTATTAATTATGGGCTGCTAAATACTTTATACAAAGTATCTGGTGATCCTTAGTTTAACCGATGAATGAGCTATCTGGAGTAGAATTACATTAGGCAAAATGAGATTAATTTTAAGGTATTTCACAGAATGCTCTCTATCTTTAGATCCTTGAATATCAATCGCCTTTGTTATCTTATATATCTATTAAACATCAACTTAACTACGTACATTATTAGTTTTTCATTTTATTGATATTTGACACGCGCTCAGGGTTTGATTTTCAACTATGAGAAGTGGCACGACCTAATGTGGATCTCTATGAAGAGATTTGGTTTTTTATCAAAGTTTAAATTCATATAACTTTAACTTTAGTTTTATCCTGATCTCCTTATTATAAAATATGCAATCACACAAGTGGTGCTTCGACTAGAATTGTAAAAGGTATCGATTTGTATCAGCATGCTAGCACAGTATAACATATAACATGTACTGGTGCAATATTGTAATGTACGCGCATAGTAGTATGATTAGTTACTTATCAATCGCGATGGTCATGCATTGCACGCATTTATTAAGACCGTTAGATTTAACGTGTAATGAACAGAAGGTCGCTAGACTAACTCTTGTATGTAATTAGAGACCATTTGAGCTAACGGCTTTATGATTTTAGCAAATCACCGGTCAAATGCTTTACTATGGTTCTTCTTATAGAATTTTAACCTTTACAATAAAAGCTAAGCGTCAGTAAAATCCGCTATTGTGAGAATCCTGAAGCTTAGCGGGCTAAAGGATTAAAGCTGCAGCTGCTGACATAACCCTATAAAATAGTAATCAAGAATCGAAATCTTGAAAATGTTGCATAAAGCAGTAAGACATTTTAAAACCTTGAATACCTTTATATTAATTATTGTCGATAGTCATTATATCAACATCGTTTAAAGACAAAGAGTGGTGATAAGCAGAATAGGAACAGTTGATGGTGTCATATATCTCAAAACATAAATCAAAGTATTCTACTGAGCCAATGTAGCATGTGCAAACTGCTGCATACTTTTATTACATTTTACTTCGGTAACATAATATCAATCCAAAATGCATGATAGCTTTATGTATTTGCTATAATGTTGCAAAATTTTGCATTACACTTCTATATGGTAAAATGCATAGTTACTTCTAGCTTTCTTCGCAGTTGCAGTAATTATTCAGTATAAGTAATGATCATCACGGCGCGAGCCATGGACTAGTTAAAAATGTAGGGAATCCACACGCGAACCTAGACATCTTGTAAGAATTAACCTTGTACGAGGATGATGGTGAATACCCAGAATTTTATGTTTACTTAAACTACTTTTAGAACTAAATCTCTAATAGTCCAAGGTATAGTTCATAAGCTAAGAGGATTCTGGCTTATGCACTGGAGTAGCCGCTTGCAATCTCACGTAATGAAGGTGGTCAATCATCTATAATTGCGATGTCAGCAGAAAACGAGAAAATTAACATCCAAGAAACCTCCTTAAAATATAATTCAGTATCGTTATATTTGTAACCGCATTATTACAGCAATAACAGCATGAGTTGACTAACCAAAATTAAACTGAGTTAACTGTTTTCTTCTAAATTATAACTAAGGAATTGACTTAAATTTACATTTTATAGTAATTCATACGTATATTAAAAATATTACTGAGATAAACTCAATCAATTACTGGACGTAAACATAATATATTTGCATTGGTATATATGTATTTTGTGATATGTCGTTACGATAGCTTATTTACATTTTCGGTTCTTGTCGCGTGTTGAGAACAAATGGAAGGAATCTTTAAAATATTTGGATTGCTGATCTTCGGTTTCATATCTAAGAATGATATTGCTGAATGAAGAACCAATTTACCAAATTTAATTTCTGCTGCTTCAACGACAGGCAAACAGGTTTTCTTTGCTACTTCAACAGTTGCTGATATATTAGCCAATGAGAACCGATATATGTATACAGCTAATGAACCTCCAACAGTGTGCATTCCAAGGTAGGTGGCATTTTCTGAAGTTATATAATAAAAGAAAAAATATTATATAGCATTGAAATCACCTTACGCTGTATGCGAGATGACGGCTTGTATGAATTTAATAGTATCTAGTAACCCTGTAATTAATGATAAAATTCCATTTTTTTTGAGTATTAAGGGTAAAATAATAAATTTTTGGAGCTAAAAATGTTTTAGTTTTAAGGCTCTACTAGGAGCTGGGTCCGCTCGCTACGCTTAGAACAGTAATGGTCTCAAATTTTAAATTTCTTTATTGCTATAAAGTATACGTTCCATAAGCCACATGTATCGCCGCAGTCAGCGGTCATTTTGAATGATAAACTAGCTCAAATCTTGAATACGCATCTTGTATAATTATCAACTCTTACTTAAAGCCTTGGCATCCGGAAACGAAATTGTTAAATTACCAGTGACGCATTTCTTTCCATTGTTAATGATTGTATAGATCTTGTGCTTTTTTGTTACAATATAAATTGATTATCGCATTAGTTAACATAAAATAGCATAATGTCTATTCGGTACTATATTAAAAAGCGTGACTGTCGGAATTTGTTTATAGCGTATCTTCTGTAATGATATCTTCTTTAAGTAGCGTAAAGTATTTTAAGGTAGACGATGATAGAAGGTATAAAGGATTTTATTGAGATACAAGTTACAGGCTAACAATGATATGGTTGTTATAGATAAGGTATTTGAGATAGCAGGAATGTAGGAACTGACTAACGAGTTAGCGTACAAGGGTATTTATAGGTTTTAGATGGGATTGAGATAATGTCTTTATATGTATAGCATGTCGTCTATATGTAGTCATGATGTCGTACATTATGAATGTAATACAATACAGTACTTAAACGGTATATGATAAGTATTCGTATATTAGGATATTACTATACTAGGCATCTTCTATATAAGATCATAATGTTACATCTTCTAAAGTGTGTTAATTTGGTATGATAGCTGAAATAAAGATCAGTAGAATTGGCCATCGTTCTATAGACTATACTGCTTAAACTGAATAAAATAATTAAAAATTAAAAATTTATAGCAATGATCATTGTCTATTAATTAAAAACTCCAATTTCGATCGTGCCCAATGTAATATATGCCTGTATTACACTGTATACGTAAAATACTATTTACATTGATTTATTTTGTCTGTACAGTACGGCTCCGAAAATGTTGCTATACATTGATCTGTATTCACTCTTTTGGCCAATTCTAAAGAATTTATCAAATACTGTATTTCTATTAATATTTCAACTTGATAAGAACTTCATTCGTGAAGCTGCTGTGTAAATGTGATATACAGTATATACAGTATATAATATATATATAGTATGCAACTATGCATATGACTGCGGGACTACGGTTCGCTATTACCTCGTATCTCAGAAGCAAGTATAAATTAATTATATATATTATCATACTTGCTATAATTTCTTATATGTTATTATGATAAATCTGTCTGAATACCTCAACGAAGTCTTCAATGATTGTTGTATTTATTCCATTTACTTGACCATCTAAACGAATTCTTTTCGACTTAAAATCTTGTGTAAATTTGTACGATTGAGCAGATAAGTTGGGCTTTGCATCTTTATTCGCTTGCATAACGTTCAATGTTTGTATCGTGCCTTGGATTTCCATCGGAATTTTACATATTGGAAAGGCATGAGTTGCAGCTGTAATAGCTAAGATAATAGCGATTGATGGTAGCGATGGTAGCATAGTTTCTCAAACGTAAATATTCTGTCGTTAATCAAATTTTTAGAATCGATGTTTGCAGCGGAACCTCTGAGTTGGAGTGCAGCTAGTGCGTAAAGTAATTGCGTAACTTTTTTAGTGTGCACTTTATCAGTATTCAGTGGCAATAGCAATGAGTGCACTACAGTACAAGTTGGTACAGTACAGTATTTTCTCGATGGGCTTTCCTGTATTGTACTGTACAGTACTGTAATTTTTATACGATTACTTGATTGATATACAGTACATGTACGGTACAGTACAGTACAGTACTATGGATTTGAACTAGTTGCTAAAAAGGTTGCTAGGTTGCCGAAAATGTGACCTCAGCGTGACTTTTTATTGTACTGTACTGTATTGTTCGTATTTTAATACTGTAGTACTGTACTTTACAATATGAGTAAGTTGAGTAACTGACTGGTTGAATTAGTACGGACCGCGCTTATGAATAGATCTCATCATCGCGCATACAGTAGGTCTCGTGCCTGCGTGAAAGTTTTAACTTTAAAGTTTTATCAGAACACTGTGAGCATCTATGGGTACAGTACAGTATTTCTGGTTAACAGAAAGCAGTTCCAGCTAAAGGTTGGACTGAACGAGGGCCCATGAATAGATTATGCTTATTAGGCTTATGAAGAGATCTCGCATAGGTCTCGTGCCTGCGTAAAAGCATAATCATAACACTGTACTGTACCGTAAGCATCCATGGTAAAGTACTATATTTCCGGTTAACAGAAAGCAGTTTCAGCTAAAAGTTGAACTGAACCAGAGCCCATCGACGTGTCGATGGCGATGTGTCTCTTTATAATATTCACTGTTAAACTACTAAGATGCTAAGGTTTCAGCCATAGAGGTAAAAAAAATCTCTTTTTATCAATAGGGCTTCAGCGGTATAGATGATAAATTGACTGAGACCGAACGCTGAAGAATCAGGCCGCAAATAAATAAATAAACAAAATGATTTATGATCATCAACAGTGCTCTCCAAGACTCAAGATCAAACAGAAACTGACACTCTTAACTTATTGCTTTCCGAGCAATTAAAGATGAGATTGTATAGATGTTGGATATATGAGGAACACTAATTGATATGAATATAAGAGAGAACTCAGATGAGTAAAAGATCAAAAACCTCTATTTGCAATATTTATTAGTGATAATAACAATAATAATGGTCAGTAATGTCGCTTATAAGTCAATTAATCATGTGCCAGTTCCCAGGTAGAGGTGTCAAGTATCAGATTTTTCTTGATACTGTATTGGTATTATTATGACAATATAAAGTGCTGATACTATCGAGACAATCCACACTGTACTACTACTCATTTCGCGCAGGGAAGTGTCTCCTGCTGCTAGAAGTACTGTCCACTATAGTTACACTATAAAGGCTTAAAGCTGTTTGATAGTATCTCACTGTAGTACAACTGTAATCATTGCGATGATAGAAAGCAGGCGGATAATAGATAGTAGATAACAAGACTAATCCTAAGATACTCACTAGATTTATAAAATATCCAGTATACAAGTATGTGCAGTCATTATATTAATGTACTTAGAAGATTTTATTTCACGTAAAGAAATAAGCGTTACAATTCTATGTAATTATAGGAAGGAAAGGATTATTGCACTACTAACGTCGCAGTGATAACATATATTTTTGCATTACGCATTATCAGTTACAGTCGCAGCACCGCATGATCATAATAGAAGCTGAGCCACAGTCACTACACTAAGCCATTAAAAGGACAATCGGACGTAATTCTAGGAATTTTATACGATAAACCAAACGTGAAAATTAACTGCTTTCTTTTAATTAAAAATAGATACAGCAGATGTTGATTGCAGCGTACAGTTCGCCGATCTAAGCGTGTGTGCTGACGCGGGTGCAGCTAGCAGTCTTGCTTATATTTTAGTTATTAACTACTAGTAGTATAGTAGAGATATATACTTCTGGTGCCTATACTTACGGCACGACAGTTAAGTGAAATGCAAAAATACAGGAGTATTGTACAGCGCTGCACTATACCACCTACAACTTTTTTGCGGACATCAGTACCGTATTCGTATGATATCAGCAATAAAAATATAAAGTTTATATAATTTACAAATATACTATGTCTATTTTACTGGTTGCTGGTAAGACTTTTGTAAAAAGAGGCTCTTCGTTTTCTGCGGAGGTGATTAGAGAAATCGAAACCCTAATTGCAATCGTTGCATTGTTAATAAAGGCCAGTTAGTTTTCTTAAGAATTTAAATTTAATCTATCACACTAAATGCAAATACTATATTGTTTATAATTATATTATAATTAATACTGTAATTCATTCGAAATTGTATTCATAGGATTTAGGATTATCCGTTACAGTAAACGTATGAAATAAGTGCCTTTTCGCTTACAGGTAGTTTCATTGAAGCATGTTGAGAACAGATAGCGGGTATATCGAAGACACTTGGATCTTGTATACCAATAGTTGTGTTACCGTAAGTCAGAGTAACGAATGTTGTTTCAGTAGTAGGATTAGTCAGCGACACCTTCGATACTTCGAGTACTGGAATGCAATTCTCAGAAATAATATAATCCGTTTGTATCGTACTATCGGCGGTAGAGAAATGATATGATTTTGCTATAATGCCATCAGGACCACCTAATTGCAAGATGCCACTATATAATGCGTTACCTAGCAATGATAGGTAGATCGATGTTAAATAGCAAAATACTTTAATTATATATATTACTATAGCAATCGACTCTTGTTGTAGATTTTTAAATTAACAGGAAGAAAATGTCAAAGAAATTGTAGGATCAAATTCGAATATTTAAAATAAATAACCCAAATACTGCTTTAACGTTATCGTACAGCTGGCATACCGAAAATTAAGATCGACGAATATGAATAACAAACCTGGGATGCAGGTAGGATTGAAAGGAGCTTCAATAGTAGTTGTTAAACATTGTCCATTAGTGATGATGTAGGTTTTGTGCTAAAAGTCGAAAATTGTCAAAAATATCTTCATTATAAAGTAATTATTCGTCTGACGATCGATTGAAACATTAGAGTAAGCTAAAAGGAATGTCGCACAGTACAGTTATGACAGCTACTAATTAATTATACAACATCTATTAATCTATTAATAATTTTTATGTACTTCGGAATCAAACTACTGGCTAGCAGGTGGGTACTCTGTGTCAGCATCGCTAATGTCACTGGCGCGATGTTATTGCCATGATAAAGAGATAAATTAATAGTGCAGTGACTGAAGAAAGCATCACAGATTCACAGTACGAACTCGACAGGTCGGTAAGCATTTTAAATTACGAGTACTATAATATTTTCAGGCGATCCGATTAATTAACTTCGAAGAGCTTGTGACTAATTGAATTATAATTATTGAATTTATTTGTTAGCTCATGAGGTTCGATGGGTTTGTTAAGAAACGTCAAACACACATTTTTTATTTACTATATATGAATTACTAACCGTGTTGAAGTCTATAATGACTGTAGTTTTGATACCAGCAGGACTTTCATCAACTCGAATTCGCTGATTCGAGTAGTCGTAATATAACCGAATTTGAATTTGAGACATAATCTTAGTGTTTGAAGTTTCAACATAATCATCGGTTGTGATTACTGTTTGAAACTGCGGAGGACTGCAGCAAATTTGAGCTGTCGCTCCATAAATGGAAAGGGCTACAATAAGGAGAAGACTTCTCATGACAGAACCTTTGAGAAAAATGCGTTAATCGGTATCGCTAATCACCAAGAACTAAAAGGATAGACTACAGCAGACTGGAGCAGTGACTATAATTAGTAATTATACAGTATAATAATTAATTAATTAATTAAGAAATATAATCAGTGTATAGTACAGTGTACTGTACACTTGTACGCAATGTACTGTACTGTACTGTACAGTACTGTACAGTTAGACGGCCGGGCATTTCCCATAATGTTATCAAGCGGATGCTCGATTTTGCAAATAATATTACATTGAAATCCATTCTATTTTACTAAGTTCTGCTCGAAAGCAGCTATATAAGGCCATAAAGTTTTGAATTAGTAGAAATGATAGAGAAAAATAGATACTGAAGATCTATACTAAGTAACTGATTTTTGGAGATTTCGGCCGCGTATGTACAATTGTACATTGTACTGTACAGTATTGTACACTACCGTATGCAAAAGTCTGTCCGCCTGTGCAATTTCCAGTCTAGATGTACAGTACAATGTACTGTACTTAGTCTATGTCTATGGTCAATTGGTCATGCAGGGAAATTAGTTAATTCATAATACGCATGACTATTTTTTGATTATGACGTCACTTAGTTAACACCGCGTAGTCATCAACTGCCTTGTCGGTTTCTAGCTGTGACCAGTAAGAACTTACGTTACCTCTATGGCTGTGACTGACACTGTTCTGTACAGTATTGTACTGTACTGTACTATCGTCCATGATCACGGTAAAAAGTACTGCTTTACAGTAATGACCGATGAGTAGAGCGTCATTCCCAACTCATGTGACCTGCACTTTGCTCTGCCCAAAGAGTAGTGTTTACGTGTTTAGAGGTAACTGAGTAAAGTCGATCCTGCTGTATGGTACAGTACTACATATTCGATCACGGAGAAAGTGTAGTACAGCATAAAAGTCGAAAACGTATTGAAAATATGGCGACTAGTTTACATGTTTTGGTGACGTTGCAGATTATAAGCTGCTGTATGGTTTGTTATGCCTCAAATCCAAATGCCTGCTGCACACCGAAGCAGTGGCAGGCTACTGTAATACAAGATGGTAGTTCCATTTCTCAAAAAAAGGGATTGGGTGTTAGTCTTTTGACTGGTAAGATATCTGTTTATTACGACTCCATTAATAAGAGAGTTAGGATCGATGAAGAAAACAGTTTGAATCCTGTCAACATAACGACGATACATGATTTGGGGAAGGTACGAGTACAGTATAATGATTTTGTATCCCATTATTCTCGTATTACTATGTGTAAAATAATAAGTATACTGAATTTTGATGTACGACACGTATTTTACTGGTAGTTAATGTGAGTTTAGCAATCTATCAGTATGCCTTCCTTACGTTAGTGACAGATTAAAACTGCAGGAGCTAATCACGTATTATATAATTACGTAATAATAAAATTACGAGATAAATTAGTTGCTCTTTGCTACTACTTGTATTAACTTAATAACGCTTGGATACTGTACGCAAATTTTTCAGTTATGCAATCTACAGTACGTTAGAACACGTACAATATAATGTTGAATTGTGGTGTTATACTAAAATACTAGGAATTTATTACTGATTTCAGAATATAAGCTATTATATATATGGTACCAATTGTACTATGAGCGTTTTGAAAGGAAAATTTGCTGATTTCTGCGTTCCAAGTAAGTTTTTAGCTACGGCTAAGACTACTTAAAAGTTTTAATCGCTGGATACAGTAAATTGTGTCTAAAATACGAGTATATCAGAATAAAATTGATACTGCACAACAAAATAATGTGTGCTTAAATAATACTAATGATATCTATCTGATTGCACATGCTACGGATGATATACACGTATAGTATATGACGGATACAAATAGTAGTAAACGATGAATTATAGTTGGGGAAAAATTTTTGACGCTTTGCAATTTCTAGTTGTTACCATATCATGCACATGCGTAAAATTCTAGATTAGATGTTTATCCAATTTTTGATCGATCTCTGAACTGCATAATGTGGATTACTGATTTTTTCTTTCCAAATTTTGTAGAAAACTCATCTTATAACGGAAATAGAACTCTAGGTGGTAGCTTGGTAGTAGATGCTTGGGGATTGCATTTCGAAGACAGCAGTAAATTTGCTAGAATTGATGTTACAAGGGATAAGTGTATACCTGTCACTGAAACATTTTTTCAGTCATCGGTAAAGACCTCATCAGCCGTGTACGCTACTAATGTCTTTTCCAATGTTCAAAGTGCCATATCATCTCCGAAAGTATTCGATAAACCAACTGTTTGTACAAATGCAATTAAGTCAAGTGTACAGGTTAGCTATGTTAATATTATATTTCATTACGTTTATGTGGTATTTTCTGTATGAATAACATATAATGTAATCCTAAACTTTTCTCTTCATGCGAAATTTGTAGATGGACGTAGATTTAAGGGCAATGCTGTGGGAGAGAGGCCTTAACAATGGTAGACCCTCTCCGGGTCATTTCATGAAACTGCATAGTTCACAACTGCTAATGCAGTCTGTTGATACTGTTTATAATCATTATGTCGAATACCGACGAAAGCTCAAGGAAAATGGTGGCAATAATTTTAAACTATCGGAAATGGAGGCCTTGAGAAAGATTATAAATAATAATATTTTCTAAATCTTTTGACCGCGCGCTATCATGGTGAACTGATGCGCAAATATTTCTTGTAAATTCGTTATTGATTGCTATACAGTATTTGCAAATAATGTACTCGTTTTTGTGTCATAATGACATCAGAATTAATTTTGATCATAGGGTATATACAACATTGAGGTATAAGGTAATTGTTTCTATTCATGGGCTCTTAACACACCATTTAGTAGACATTCTGATCCTACAGGATTTAACCGTAATGGCTACCAATCTACATATTCTGACAGTTGTTTCCCGTTTGAAAGGCTGATATGAATGACTGGAAACTCTTTCTGATTCCTTGTATCAATTTTTAAAGTCCTACTTTGATATCAAACGGTTTAGCTTCTCAATTGAACTTCTAACGGTTCAATAGCAATAATAGTAAAAACATATTATGGTTACTTTTATGGCGCTTTATTCGAATATGGCCTTTTATAAGTTGTTTCAAAGGAGTGAAAGGACTAACTGTACTAACATTTTGCTATCATCATTACCTCTGTACATTCTAACATTTGACGAGTTTCATTGTTAATCTATTAAAGATCCTCATTCGAATTGAATGAAACTTTATTAGTGTTTGAAGATAATTTGTACTGATATTGTGCTCTTGCATTTTTTTATAATACAAGGACGATATTTAACATTCGATATTTAGATTCATCAAGAGCTTATCTAGGGCATTATTTTTCAAGAGAATCTCATTATATTTTTCGGAAGATTGCTGTAGACTTTCCTCTCCAAGATGATATCTGACTTCATCGATTATGGGAATAGAATCTGTTTCTTGTCGTTGAATTATACTTGTCGCATCATCGATGATTATTTTCGCAAAATCATCGCGTTCGACCATCTAAGGAAAAAGAAAATCAACATCCGGTCATGAAGTAATAATTAGAATTTGCAAAGTTATTCTAGTATGTAGTTCAGCAAGTGATCGGGATAGACGCAATTTCCGTTCAAGACTATCAAACAATGTTCAATAAAGTAATGTTTATAAAGGAATTGCTAATGACCTCAAGTAGGTGTTTGGAAATAAACCGTGTACACTCCAGCTCCAGTTTAGGCATAGTCAATAACCTGGCAGTTTCTAATAACTGTATTACGTTGTCCGTTTGTAAGTTTTGAATTATCACCTTACAACAATGCCTCTTTAATCCGGGAATAAGATATTTATCAGCAGCATATAATATTTCCTGTGTAAGGTCACATGGAATCTGAAAAGTAGAAAACTTTAGTGACATTGGCTTGCATTATGTACTCTTCACCAGCAGTGTTTGTATTCGCTTGGTTAAAGTAAAACAAATTAAATCAGGCGACTGACCTTTACATCGCCGGCATAGATGAATACCATCACAATACTAAAAATATCAGGTGTGCAATCATTCAGGTTAATGACTGGAATTTCTTCAGAGCAATTGCTCACAATTGATTCGGCAAAATTGCCTAGCAGTAGGGCTTTAAAGTAGTCACTACGTTCACAAAAGAACACCTGAGTGATAAAAAATTCATAATATAACCATCCGCGATTAATTGAAAGAATATTAATTTTCGTAGATCATATGGTCTAAAACTAACAAAATTCTTTAAATTACCTTATGCCCATAAAATTTATAACCTCCAACACAGAATATTAGATCAGGACGCAGTATGGAGTTTAATGGTTCGAAGTTATCAAATAGCTCATCCTTTATATCATTGAAATGATGACTCGGCGACAGCCAGTCTAGAGCCTGTTATAATAATATGCACCATGGAGACATATTAACTCTTACAGCCTTAAAATAAACAGGTATAAAATTGCCCTTTTAGCGAGAATATAAATTACAAGATCTGATCTAAATTCTTTTGGTAAAAGTCTGTTGACAAGAATTTTCATGTGGTTCTGTACGCTAATTTGGCCCTCATCTTCCATTATCGTTATCATATTAACTTGAGAATGAGACTTTGATAACGCTATATACGAGTACAAGATCGGAGAAATTGATATGGTAATTTAAGATCAAGGCTTTCTTTTTCTTGCCGTAAATATTGTATAATTGCTACCAATCTTACAGAATTTAATTGCAAGCTGCGATTCAGATATAAGACGATTTCTTAATTCCTGGAGGCCACACTGCTTTGCTAGCTCAGAGAAACTGCTCGCTTCTTCCAATAGAACATCAACGTAACCTTTCCATGTGAGAAAAATTTACTTCAAGCTTTGGACTTTTTAGAGTAACATTGTTAAATGTTCATTGACTTA